AAATAAAAATATATTACGATAACGGTGAAGATAATGGTGATAATGATGGGTTTGAGTTAACGCTTGTTTTCATTAAATTCGCTTTACATATTTGTGTTAAAAATCAAAGATATTTTATTTTTTTTTTTTTTCAAATTTCTCTGAACTTACCGATTGCTGGTCCTTCGTTTGTAGGTATCTAAAGCGTTGAATATAGTAGAATAGCAGCCAAACAAGTGAGATCACCATCAGCACAATGAAGGAGATGGACACGAACAGCACCGAAGTTCTAAGAAGTATATGTAATGAAATATTGAAGAAAAAAAATTAATTAATATATTTTGTGCACTTAAATGTGGTTTGAAGAAATCAATGCTTAATAAAATTTAGAAATTACATAATATTTAGAGAAAATTGAGAGTAAATAAACAATAAATAAAGGCAACATATTTACAGAATATCAATAAATATAATAATTTTATCAACATACGAATACAATAAGTTTAAGAGTAGAGCACTTTAATGCCATACAAAGCCACAACGAGGATTTTTACATATTAAAAGAAATAATAAAAATAAACAAAAATTACATACATTCAAAGCTTAAAAGTGTGTTTAAAAGTAAATTGAAGAAATATTATGAAATACATAACTGTGGCATGTTATTAAAACAACTTAAGTGACTTTAGAAAGTTTGACTTTGAAATAAAAAATAATAAGCTTCGCTTGAAAAACTTTATATTTTTTTATTAAATTTATAGTAAAAAGCGCGTTATTTTATTTTCTTATTTACACCTATGGCTAATTAGTCGTTGAAATAATGTTTGCGAAACAAATGCTTTAAGAGGAAAAAGTCTTATCTCGAGATAAGTTTCTTTAATAAAGTGCCACAGGTATGTATGTATGTAAGTAGATTTACACACAATTTTTATAGCCTATTTCCACCGAGAAAAAATCGTTTTCTGATTGTTTTCCACTAAGCCATATTTTGAGGTCAGAATTTGTCATTATATTTTGTCAAAACAGTGCAAAATCTGAGAAATTGAAATATCGAATGGAAAAGTACTTTTACCAGAATTCGAGCGAAGTAAATACATACTTCTCCTTTTTGCATTAAAACATTTTCAATATTTTCGTTTAATCCTCACACTGGAGATGCTTAAAATTTCCAGAGCTTAAGAGAACACTTGACTGCAATTAAGCGTTTGGTGAAAATAGGCGATTAGGGTGTAATATTTTATTAATCATAATACTCTAGGAAGATATTTTTAAATTACTGCTATAAATTTTAGGAAATTTAATTGTGTAAAAAATTGTATGTATTTAATTTTCACCTGCAAAAACTTTGGCATTAAGATTTTGTCGAAAAAAACCAGGTGAAAATTGTACTCAAAGAAAAGGAAACCAGTATTTAGTTAAAAATCCTAAAAGGTAAAATTTTGTTTTTGGTTTTAATTTGAACTGAAATTTAAGCGTCTTAGTACAGGGTGGAGATTCAACTCACATTCGGAAGTTAACTGGACATTTTTTGTAAAAAAAAATGGCAAGTATGCGAGTTAACTCTATTGTAAAAGATATTTTCATAATTTTAGCATTATTCGTTTTTATTTGTTGTGTGGTCTTTTTTCAGAAGTTAAGTATACATTTTTTGATTATTTATTTATTGTATAGTAGATATGTATATACAAGTTTATTTTTTATATATGTACGTACATATATAAGATATATGTAGGTATATTTTTCATTTCAAACAATGCATGAACTCGGATATGTTGTAGAACTGTTTATCGCATCACACTACTACATAACTAATACATTGTTTTGTTTACTTTTTTATTTTTTAAATATTTTTATTTTTTTTTTATTTATGTATGTAAGTATGTATTTTATTTTGTGAACTTTTGCAAAAACTCAACAAACGTGAACAACACTACGAACTTACTTTTTTATGATCTACAACATATCCGAATTTCATCCAAAATGTAGGCGGCTACCCTGTACGATTTTCTTGTAGTATCTAAAAATAGCATAAGGAAAATGCAAATACATATATGTATATAGGTATAGGTATGAAAAAATGCAAATTTTTCAGATAGAAAGTGACACTAGTAGTATGAGTTCGATTTGGGCTAATAAAATATAATAATTTATTTATATTTTTTTTTTTGATATTAACTTATTATACTTTTTTAGTAGCATAAATAGCTTATTACTAACATTATGCTATCATATTTGCATGAAGTCATTGATTAATTTTCGATAAGTCTTCTCGCCAAAATAAAGTCAGAATTTGCTAAACAACTTATGGACCTACTCGCTATTCCCTATTTTTGACCAGCTTCTTGGGTAGAAGAAGGTGTTAGGCCTAAAACTTGTTGAGGCTCCCCAAAACTTACTAGGAAAGATAGGATAAATTGCAGCAAACAAGTATTGGTAATCTAGGTACATCAACCGAGGGGTAACTCACAAATTGTAAATCTCACCAGAGTACTTAAACACTTTTACATTTGAACGAAGATAGTTGAAGATTGCTTAGAAAAACATAGCTATGATTAAGTGTCACGCAGCGTATGAATACTAGTATATTTTCAACAAAATTTACACACACTTGACCATTCTTTATTTCACTCTCTCTCTCACTCTCATGCCACCTTAAGACCTCAATAAAGCTATGATCAAGGACTGGACAACGGAGCATGGTCTATCACCGCACAAAATATACAGCGGTAAAAAAAACCTATGCTGATCTTAAAAGCATTTGAACGATGGTCGTTGGTTAACACCAAATGCTATCTCATCAAACCCTAAAATCATGCAACGACAGGAATGTATATTTACTAGAACGACAGTAATTCGCTCAACCCTTCACGCTTCCATACGAGTTAGAGTCGGGCTGAAGTATAGAAGTTGCAGTTAGCGGATAATAGAAGTTGACTTTGACCAAAACTTCGAAATGCATTTTCCCGACAGAAGTATCTGGGAACTTAATATCGGGTTGTACATAGCTGAGTGGTTAACGCTTCTGACTTTGAATATCGATTACGCAGGTTCGATCCCTGCTGAAGTCTAGAAAAAAGAAATAAATAACATTGTTAAACATGTTCACTTAATCGTTATAAGCTTTCCGCAATGGAAAATCACGTCACTATCACTCCATCATACAGAGGCCTACACCATCATACATTCAGTTATCTAAGCAATTGACATGTAATTTCCTTGTAAATAATGTTTTTCGTGATAAGTAATGTATAAAATAAAATTAAGCTATTAAGCAAAGTGCATACATATGTAAGTGTGCATGTAAATGGGCAATTCATTGTCGTGGGCAATTCGTTGTCGCTCAACTAGCGACCAACTCAAGAAACTTCCATAGTTGCCGCAATAATAAAAATCGCATTTTAAACCGGCGTAAAGTATGTAAACACTAACAAAATAACGACACGCTTTGTTATCATTTTGATGAGTTTTTATTTTTTATTTTAAGGCATTTTGTTTTTTCTTTTTCTCCTTTTTAGTTCGCACATCTGCCGCGGCTGGTGGGTGGGTGTTTGTTGGTTGAAAGCGCTAATTTTTATTCATTACCAAAAGTAACCTTCCAACACAATGGGGGCCAGCACAAATTTATGACGTACGTGCAAAGTATTTAAAAATGACTGACAGTAAGAAGTGAGCCATAAAGCGAACAAAACGCGAAATGTATTTAAATAAATAAAATATAGAAAAAAATATTCATGTAAAAAGTCAGATAAAAAAAAAAAAAATTCTTTGCGAATTTCACACATTGCGCCGCTGTTCTGCATAAAAAAATGTGTACATGTACTCGTTGAGCACCGCGCCACGCCATTCTGCGAGTACATTTAACACACGTGACAGGTGTGGCAGCCGTGCTACGCTAAGCTTAACGTTCATAAGCCTGTAAAAACTTTTAGACAGCTGCATGCCTAAGCAATTTAGTCTCATAACTGCGTTTTTTTTGTTTGCTTTTGTTTTTAAATACTTTCATACAAAGGCACAGCCTGCATGGCCACCACTTGCCACTTGGTCGACAGATAAGAATAAAAAAATTACTTCATCCTGCACTGCGAGTATTGCCGCAAAACAACTTCGTGTTAAATCCAAACCTAATCTTTATTATGGGCAGTAAAAATTCAATTTGTTTATGTTGTGCTGACGCTACGACATACATGTATATATGTATATACATACGTATTTCTTATCACAACAATAACAATAAAAAAAGCGACGCTGCGACAGTCAAAACAAGCTTCGCAAAGCAGACTACCTACAATGAGTAGTACCTACCCTGCAGGAAAAAGTTTTAAGTGTTGCCAGAAAATGTTCAACTTTTCGCTTATTTTTATCAAGAAATTTCATTCAAGTATTTGTGAAAAAAATCACGGCTGGACACATGGCGTATGAGTAACATTATTTCATGTTCATATATATTTCCGACAACAAATCCAAATTATCGAATTTGACAATCGTCAACACGAAAGAGATTTGTCGCAGCTTAGTACTTCTCACTACATTTATTTAGATAACTTTTTCATCTACAAAACGTCATTTCTTCCATCTTAATACGATGAACGAGCAACAAACCATCAGTGATATTAGCAGCGACGCACAGTGCGGCCGAAATTCAAAAGTGCGGCCGAAATTCTAAGATTTAAGAAATTATTCGAAATTTCGTACTAGGCGGTTTTCGAGGTCGGTAATTACGAATCCGCTGTCGGAATGGCAAAATTCGAAATGGCGGATCCAATAAGGCGTCTGGTAAATTTCGCGCTATTTAATTAGAATTCTTAGAAAGATTTTGAGTATGCATTTTTCTAGCGCAGTCAATTTTAGTGGCACAATGTGCAAGTTTGAAGGAGCTGGGACTTACCGTTGATTTTTGAGGATTTTTTTTTTTACAGTGCCATACGAAGTAGGTTCGATGATATGAAGAAAATTAGCAACACCTTCAACAAAAAAAATTTAAAAAAATCAACCACTTTATTATGCTTAAATTAAATGGGCCACAAAACTGCATACTCAAAATCTTTCTGTGCAATCTAAATAAAAAGCACGAAATTTTTACATGGAGGTGAAGCTGATATGTATAAGCGTGTTAAAAAAAAAAAAAAAAAAAAAGCAAAATATAAGGAGCAGAAATGAGCATCTGAGTTTTGTTTTATTCAATAGCTAATACTTTTCTACGTAAACTGCAATAGGTTTAAAGGCAGCATACAACAGCGTGTTGTTGCTGTTGCATTTAACAACTCAAGTTTTGTTAAGAGCGAAATACACCACACAAGCGGCTTGTCAAACATTCTTCAAACCTACTTTTCCCATTTCGCCATACACCATGCAAACATGACTCGTTCAAGCAAAGAATTTTAGTTTTCTTCCAGTTCGCAATGCTAAATATTATGGTTTTCTTTCATTTTCCTCTCTTACGTCCTTACTCGGTGAAAATTTCGTTGCGAATGAGGCGATTTTGCTATACACAACGCAAGCGGTTTGATCAAACATCAACATGGCGGCCAGAAAATCAAAAAATTTTGATTTTTTGCTCAAATTTCCCTCAAGCGGCTTGCCAAACCTTCAAGCACCCCCATACACAGCACAAATGGCTTGAAGCAAAGGGAAATTTCGCTTGGTTTGTCAAACCGCTTGTGTGGTGTATTTCGCTCTTTAAAATAAACGAAAAAAATACCTTTACATTTTTATTTCTTAAAAATGCCCGTTAAACTATTTCTTTGCACAAATTTTGTAACGTTTTACTAATCTTCAGACGTAGAATTTTATACGTTAATAACTTTTCGCTTTTTATTACAATAATGTTGTGCTTGGGAGAAGGTCACACTATAAATGAATATAAAGAGAGGACTTAGGATACAGGTCGTTACAGTGCACAGTTTTCGCTTCTTAAGTGATCTCTTTAGTCAACTCAATGTCAAAAAAGGCCTATCTATAAACTTTATTTTCTCGTATTTTGGCCGCACTTTTGGAATTCGGCCGGACTGTGCGACGCGCTAACTGTCAATAGTTTCAAATGATTAAAAACATATCCCGTCAAATTGAGAGATGGAACATTTTTCAATTTTGATCAGCATAATTTTCCGAGCAAGACNAGGACTTGGGATACAGGTCGTTACAGTGCACAGTTTTCGCTTCTTAAGTGATCTCTTTAGTCAACTCAATGTCAAAAAAGGCCTATCTATAAACTTTATTTTCTCGTATTTTGGCCGCACTTTTGGAATTCGGCCGGACTGTGCGACGCGCTAACTGTCAATAGTTTCAAATGATTAAAAACATATCCCGTCAAATTGAGAGATGGAACATTTTTCAATTTTGATCAGCATAATTTTCCGAGCAAGACAGTATGTTTTAAGTCCATTAGGAAATTCTTTCAGAGTACACCTAAAAATTGTGAAGATGATTTTCTGAATTGCGGGTTCTATCGAAAGCGTTGAGAAAAGAAAAATTTGAAAGACCTTCCCGACACCACCCAACCCCGAAATTTTGATATTAATACTGTGGGCTTAGCTCTGCGGTTGCCGATTTGCCACGCCCATCTCTACCTACTTCGCACACATTACGGTGGACATAATCTTCCATCTGTGTAGGCAAATAATTTGGAACTTTTTGATTCCCTACGTCTATATTAATCATCTAAGTGCCAAATAGTTCCTTCCAGCATGACGGTGCTGCGCGTGAAGCCAGCACTTTTTTGGTACGAACTTCTGGTGACCGTATCATATCAAGAATTGGGTCCGTCAATTGGCTATTAAATTAGTATTGAAAAACTATCAAGCAGCAAAAAATACTGACAACTTCCAGTCGGGAAACTGAAAACTTTCCAACAGAGCAGCTGCTAGATTTGTCACTCGGTTCATATGTACGCGTATCTTTGGGCTGCCGGTTTAGTAGGCAATTTTATTTGGCAATTCAGGTGAGCACAATTTTTCGTGATAAAGTAACAGTAGTAATCCAGGTGTATCATAAATTGTTATTGGAGTTATTTGTCATTTT